GCGGGATGCCGTGTGAGGTGGGGACTAACGGCGGGATGCCGTGTGAGGTGGGGACTAACGGCGGGATGCTGCTGTGAGCCAAGCTTTGACCGGAGCCATGGGACGCTGTGCAAGGCATATCCAGCGTCGCGTTTAAGGAAAGGCCAAGTACTTTGGAGTTGGCTCTAAATTTGGCGCCAATAAGAAAAAACAAGCAAAAAAAAAGCAAAATTATGCAGTTCCACCGCCTTGGGGGCGACCGTGACCCCTTTGGTTGTCCGTTAGATCACCGACGTCATGTTGGTGGAAACTGCTGGTGGCACGTCGTGTGGGCCGGGGCAGCCCAGGGAGGACGCCGCGTGTGGCCGTGCTGCCACGGGGCGCCGCGCCCGTCCAGAGCACCGGTGGGCGGCTCTCCTTCGGCCACGTGTGGCGCTCCTAAATGTTTAAGCACAGCCACGGCACGGCGGCGAAGCGAGACGGATGGCGCGGCGGGCTGGGCTGACCTTCCTGGTGAATCTCCTGCACCGGCTGGGCTCTCTCCGAAGGCGGCTTCCCACAGCCTGCAGCACAATTAAATGGCTCACTTGTAATGGTAGATAACGTGGGGCTTTTTATGCTCAGGTGACATCAGGCTTCAAGTGGTTGGTTTCAAGCGGTATATATATATATATATATATATATATATATATATATATATATATATATATATACACACATACATATATATCGCTACGGGGTGCACCTTGTCATGACGCCCTGACAGTCATGATTACCGATTGTACGTTTCTGCCTCTTTCTCTAAGTGGCGTGCTCGCTGCAAATAAACCCTTTGTCAGCGGTCGGTGCCACGTGCTGCCCTGCCCGTCGGTGCCGCGTGCTGACCCGCCTGCCGGTGCCGCGTGGTTGTCGGTGCCGCGTGCTGACCCGCCTGTGGCGGCCGGTTGGTCAGTCGGTACCGCGTCCTGACCCGCCTGTGGCGGCCGGTCGGTCAGTCGATGCCGCGTGCTGAGCCGCCTGTAGCGGCCGGTCGGTCAGTCGATGCCGCGTGCTGAGCCGCCTGTGGCGGCCGGCCGGTCAGTCGGTCGGTTCCGCGTGCTGACCCGCCTGTGGCGGCCGGTCGGTCAGTCGGTCGGTTCCGCGTGCTGACCCGCCTGTGGCGGCCGGTTGATCAGTCGGTACCGCGTCCTGACCCGCCTGTGGCGGCCGGTCGGTCAGTCGGTACCGCGTCCTGACCCGCCTGTGGCGGCCGGTCGGTCAGTCGATGCCGCGTGCTGAGCCGCCTGTAGCGGCCGGTCGGTCAGCCGGTCGGGGACGAGGCGCCGTGCAATTTGCCGTTCGTTTTTACGACAGCGATTGCGGCGGCATGCACTGTCGGGGTGGTCGGGGCCGGCCTGGGCCCACACGGGCGGGGACGACACTAAGAGGTGCTGCCGAGAGACGTGGCTTGCTTGAAGGCGCCCTGCGATGGGACGTGGGACGCCGGGAGATTGGAGCTCCGCTGAAGGGGCTGGCGACCTTCAGGTATCGCCGATGGCATCTCAGAGACGCGAGAAGACACCGCGGGAGGACTTTGTTTGAACTTTAAGACTGGCGACCTTCAGGTATCGCCGATGGCATATGAGACGCGAAAAGACACCGCGGGAGGACTTTGTTTGAACTTGAAGACGCTCCTGGCGGTAAGTGGGAAGCCTGGGGCGTTGTTGGCGTGAAGGCGACCGGAGGCTGGTTATGGGTGTGGAAAACCCTGAAGCCAGGCATGGGCTGTGAGGCCGGATTGCTGGGAACACAGCAACTGGGTTGTTATCGCTGAAGGCCACTGCCGATGGGTGTGGGCTCAATTACAAACAGCGAATGACTTCGGATGCGAGGACATGTGGTCAGCAATTTTACTCAAAACTGAACTGAGACAAATTTTGACCGTGGCTATATGCTGGCGTTTACGTGGTACTTTATATTATCCTCAGTTCGCTTCAGACTGCCCTGCACAGCCCGGATATTTTAGCCGGCCCTCATAATACATGTTATTCTTCGCCAGTAGGCCACCCATTGTCGTGATCCTCGCAACGCACTGCACGCGCAAGGTTTACGACACGCATGAATGCCGTGACGTACGAAATCTGAACGGTACATATGCGCGAGACGATTTTCACACACAAGCCAAATGGCCAAGCACATGTGCGGTTAGCGCAGGCAACACTCGCGGAGGCCGCCATTGTTATCTTTCATAAGGGTGCCAGCCTGATCCCCGCGGTCCCAGTAACATTCGTACTTGTTCTCCGTGCTCATGGCATCGTCCGTCACTGTCGCACAACTCATGCGGGACATTGCCGGGCGCATAAAGCTAGTTATTGCTGTGGAAACGAAATATGTACCGTGCCTGTGCCTGTATTGATTGTCCATGTGCAGCCAACCACACAGTCAAGGCTGCCACACACATCGCGTGGAGCAAACAACGTTATTTTTCTTGATGCGTTGCTAGTCCGTGATTGATTGCTTATATCAATACTTCACTGATGGTTGTCCCGTATGATTCATCTTACGTACCTCGGACGTATATGGCACGTTTCGGTATTGCAGGAAGTGAAGCTTCTGAGCGAAGTTAGTTAATAGGAGCGTCATTAAGTGGGACCGCTCGCCAGGCATCAGACATGAATTATTCACGTTGGGTGCAGAAGTTTGCGCTGTGGTTGCTAATTGCTGTTTATCCGGAAATGAAACTTGCCTATATTTTTTTCATTATTGGTAAAAGAACGGCGACAAGGCGAAAAGCGAAGGGGACACATCCACAGACTATCCACAAGAGCGGCGTGCTTTTAGGTAGGAGCCCAGGCAGCACCGTGTATTTATGAGACCAAGAAATTTGTCGGTAATAATTAGACACATATCTTCAGCGTGCTACTCAAATCTCACCAACGCACAACAAGTTCCTCGCTGAGGCATCGCACCCTGCAGTGTGATGCACCTGGAACTGTGAAAGTCGCCTGGAGGGCATCCCTCGGAAGGCCGATTGCAGATCTGCTGTCCGTTAGCGCTTCGAACGCACGGAATCGCACCGCCTCGTAAGGCGGATTGTGGCTCTGCTGTCCGTTAGCGCTTCGATCGCACGGAATCGCACCGCCTCGTAAGGCGGATTGTGGCTCTGCTGTCCGTTAGCGCTTCGAGCGCATGGAACCCGGTGCATCGCCTAGTAGTGCGGATGTGCTCTGCGTCCGTTAGCGCTTCGAGCGCATGGAATCGCACCGCCTCGTAAGGCGGATTGTGGCTCTGCTGTCCGTTAGCGCTTCGAGCGCACGGAATCGCACCGCCTCGTAAGGCGGATTGTGGCTCTGCTGTCCGTTAGCGCTTCGAGCGCATGGAATCGCATCGCCTTGTAAGGCGGATTGTGGCTCTGCTGTCCGTTAGCGCTTCGAGCGCATGGAACCGCATCGCCTCGTAAGGCGGATTGTGGCTCTGCTGTCCGTTAGCGCTTCGAGCGCATGGAATCGCACCGCCTCGTAAGGCGGATTGTGGCTCCGCTGTCCGTTAGCGCTTCGAGCGCATGGAATCGCACCGCCTCGTCGGCAAAGTTCGGTCCGGCCCCGATCGGCCTCTGCGCCCGCTTGGGACGTTATGAGACAGACGGCAGTCGTGCCCTTTGGACGACTCGCCGCCGGACGTCAGCTGTCAGGGCAGGACAGAGAGGAGGGGGAGAGCGGGTGCCAATGGGACGGCCGTATATTTTTGGAGATCCTCTGGCACCGGCAATCATTTGACTTAAGCAGGCGATATTCTAGGAATTTGAATCCAATCTGAATGGACTTAGCAATATTTGGCCTTTTATCATTCCATTATAAAGCCCATCGGACCGATTTAAAAGAATAAGTGTGGTAATGATAAATGGTCGAATGTGGGGCGCCTCGCTGAGTCACCCAACACCACCGAGCACGTATGGCTGCAGAAGGAGCCACATGATCACGACCCAGGTCAGGAGAAACATCTGGTCAAGGAATAAGCTCTCCATGGCATTCGCTGTACCCACGGAGCAGTGCTCTGTTTCATTACACACCGCTGGACTTCCTCACTACCCTGGAACCCAAGTTCGCTGCCGAGAGCGGTGAGCGATGGCGGCCTGCAACGTGGCGCGGCGTCTCACCCGTGGCCATCTTCACACGGCGACGCTGCTGCACCACCAACGCTGTGTCCTCGCTATACGTTCGACCCACGGCCCGGCCCCCGGGGCAAACCTTGATTTCCGCCCGCGGCGCTCTGTGCGCCGGCCCCGGCCGATCCTATCCGACCGCCTGTCGCTCTGGAGCATAGCAACGCTGACGGGCGCCGGACGCGACGCAGTGCGGCGAGCGCGCCGCAGCGAAGCCGACGTAACGCGACGCGGCGCAATGGACAAGGCGCAGCGAATGTGGCGCGGCGTGGCAGACTTGGCGCGACGTGGCGGATGGAGCGCGCTGCGATGGAAGCGCCGACTGATCGATGGCGGCGGACTCGGGTCACGGCGCGGCCAGATGGTCACTGTCCGGCCTGACCGGTCACGACCCGGCCTGACCGGTCACGGCCTGACCGGTCACGACCCGGCCTGGCCGGTCACGGCCCAGCCTGACCGGTCACGGCTCGGTGCGCCACCGCCTTAGGTCGTATCGTCAGCTGACGGGCCTCGAATAGATGTGCTTGGAGGTTTTTGTATGTCAAATCCACGGTCATGGCTGGAAAGGTTAACAGATCCGGAAGCTCGGCTGCTCTCGAAGGCAATTTTTGGCATCATTTGAAGCCAAGCTCCGAAGATTCGACGCGAAATATCTCAAACTCTCAGCTCCTTCCGTCTTTGTGGATTTCTGTATGCCACCTGCCATCCCCCCCCCCCCCCCACACACACACCGGTACCACTTCCCAGCTACGATATTTGATGCATGCTATCCAAACGACATTGAAGCTGAGTGCTTAGCTGAAGCAGACCTGCATCTCGTGGACCGCATCCCCTGTCGCATGGCCAGCCGCTGACGTCTCGGCCATCCATCTGTCGACAGCGCCTGCCGCCGTCAGCCTGTGGGAGACGGACAGCCTACGGGTACGCCTGCGCCTGCCGCCGCTGGTGCAGCAGGGCGAGGCAGTGAACGTGACGTGCGAGTACCGCCTGCCGCCGTCTGCCCAGCTCTACTCGGTCCAGTGGTACAAGGAGGGCGAGGAGTTCTACCGCTACATGCCCGGCACTAAGCAGCGCAAGCAGACGTTCGTCGTCGCCGGCATGGACGTGGATGTGAGTGAACTTACGAAGGGGCCGAGGGTGGCTGATTCAGATGCTCCCCCCCCCCCCCGGGCGTAACCAACGCGTAGCATTAGCGCTGGGGTCTTGCGCGTAAAGTAACGAAATCTTTGGTTTTGTTTGGTCTACTGGGGACAATTGTTCTGTCGGGCATCAATGGCCAGTTCAGATAAGTGCCCTGCATGTCTTTGGCCCAGCATTTTCTTTTTACTCATATGCATTGGAGGTACTCAGAGGACTCTTAAGGGGCCTCAAGTCAGCCTTGGAGGAGGGGAGGCTCAGCCCTCCTGAAAATACATAAAGTGAGGCCCCGACGCACATGGGACCCTCTTCGGGGCGCAGGTGACCGAGGGTGGCCAAAAGTGCCAGGATGCCAGAGTGACTGCCAAATGCCAGGAGGCCGTCGGCCCATCAATCGATCATGCACGCAGTCTGCCCCAGATGGACAAATAATAAGCTGCGAGAAATTCATTACTTCGAACGCAGTTGTAGACGGGGAGCGCGCGACACTGCTTTGGCGAGACAGTGGGCTCCTCTCAATACGGACACGGGTGAGAGTGGCCATGGATTTTGCCGCAACAAATCTCCTCAGCTGTGTGGCGTGGATGGCCCTTGGTCTCTAAGCCACAGGTCAGTGGCTTGTAAAAACTTGCAGAATGACGGTGGCGGGCTCCAAATTGGTTTATATCTGAATCTCTTATATTACATTCATACAAAATACGCAGGGTAGAGTGGCACACTTGGAATAGGAGGCGAGACAGAAATATCGACATCTGCTTTTTTTTAGTGATGTCTCGAAAGGGTTGACTTTGATTTCTATCTGCATTTTAAACAGCTGTTTCTCAATAAAAAATTGGCAAATCGCCGCCGGTCGGTGATGTGCCGTCCACATTTTTGCTGTTTCCGTGATTGGATAACGCATAATTTGCTATTGATATCATTTTGGCACATAGATCCGGCGTTAACATTAGGCACTCACCCACAGTAGTTCCGTCCCCCATGCGCAATGAGTTCTTGCCATGCTGTTTTACGACGACGACTGACTGAATTTCTGTCGGTGAGGCGAGGCGAACAGATATGGCTGCATTAATTCAAACACAAGGATCGGCTGCTTTCCAGGACCGATTCTTGTGGGATGAAATGAAGTACCAAAGGACGGCCAGTACGGGATGTTCTAAACAGATGTCATTCTGCCACTAATTTTCAATCGTCGCCTCGTTGACGCCGTTGGCGGGTGCACGATACATTCCTGAGCTCGGTTGCGCTTACATGTTAGCCTCGACGTCCCCCGGTCACGCGCTGCGTCGCAGAGTGCGCCGCGGAAAGGGACGGCTTCTATCGAACCATAGTCCTGACGCATCCGGCCCTTGACACCAGTGGCGGTCGGCTGCTGGCGGCAAGAGGCCCCATCTCGAAAAGAGGCAATCTGCTGTGAGGAGGAAGCGAAACTTGCCCTGTTTAAGGATATTATTTTCATTTGTTGCCCCTCCGCTGCCTCACTCACACCACCCTTCGCCGCCCGCTCCTCACATTGCCCCGTTTTAACTCTCGTCGCGCCCCGCCGTGCAGGTGGGGCAGACCGGGAGGGGCGCGACGGCTGAAGGAAAGCTACACCACTGCGGGGAAGGCTGATCGAGAACTGACTTTATTTTGTGTTCTATGATGTGCGTCGATTGTCCGCATACCTAAGCATATGACGCAAATAGTCGGATTTTTCACGTCCGTAATTTGCTGCTTTAAATGCATGGAAAGGTGCCCAGATTGCCCTATCTCCCCTATGATGTATTCTTGTCGTCACGACATTGATTAGAGAGCGCTGCAATTGATGTGATATGCGGTGGGTACGACGTTTTTATCACCAACTGAAACACTTAACAGCCAGACTGATGTGTTAACAGTGTTTTACCGGCCGCCAGCGTCGGCTATTCAGCTTACCAGCGCAGTTAGGGGCTCTGCAGTCCGCTACTGTGAGCCGGGCCCAAGCTATTTCAAATGTGGCTTAATGTGCTGCACCAATCACACGAGTAAACAAAACCAGAACCCGCCACCATGGCTGTGCGGGCAACGGCTAGAAGAGCATGTTTGTGAAGCCCGACTCCTGCTGGTTTATTCTCCAGCGTCCGTCAAGTGCAAGCGTAAATCATCGCCTCCCGGAACGCTCGGCAGCCTGCAGATTTAGAGCTGGCCGGCGGAGAGACTAACAGCTCCACGGCTGGTTCTAAACTTCCGTCGTGTGCCAGGACTGTCAGTCGGGTTTTTTCCGGACGCCGTCGGCTACATGCAGCCAGCAATTCATCGATGATTAAACAAAAATGGCGCGGCGCTGCGTTATTGATGAGATGCTATTAATAAAGTGTGCAGTCGTGTTGAATCAGAGCACGTGAATGGTTTTGGATGCAGATCATAAAAGAATCGAGCGAAATGGTGGAGTAAACATCAAATTGTCAAATTATAGCGATTCGCAGCTTGGAACACAAAACTAGCTCGTATTGGCTCAGATTCAGCAAACTTTAGGCGAGAGTGGCGTTATCACAAACGTTCCCAAGTTTATCTTATCACGTCTCCAAACAAAATCGCAAATATTAGTACTTTTGGCCCGAACGTAGCATCGCTCCTTTCGTTTTAAACTGGGGCTCCGGTACTTTTCACTGCACTGCTCAATACTGCAAGGTGTCTAGCACGCCTGAGCGGCCCGTACAGGGCGCGCAGGGCTGAAGCCGCAGCACCATCGGTCTGATCACGCCCAATCATGTTCACATATACCACGTTCTGCCAAATGCTGTGGAGAAAGCATGCCTAAGCGTCGGCGTCAACCCAGCAGAACTCTTCCAGCATCGTCTTCAAGCCGAGTACCGGCCGCGTGCTGAACGCCTACCAAATCCGACATCTGTGAGAAGCGTCGGCTCTCGATCGAAGCCGTGTGTGTCCGTCGGGTGCCGGTGACATGTGACACGTCACGGCCCGGCGTCCGTCGGGCGCCGGTGACATGTGACACGTCACGGTCCGGCGTCCGTCGGGCGCCGGTGACATGTGACACGTCACGGTCCGGCGTCCGTTGGGTGCCGGTGACATGTGACACGTCACGGTCCGGCGTCCGTCGGGCGCCGGTGACATGTGACACGTCACGGTCCGGCGTCCGTCGGGCGCCGGTGACATGTGACACGTCACGGTCCGGCGTCCGTCGGGTGCCGGTGACATGTGACACGTCACGGTCCGGCGTCCGTCGGGTGCCGGTGACATGTGACACGTCACGGTCCGGCGTCCGTCGGGCGCCGGTGACATGTGACACGTCACGGTCCGGCGTCCGTCGGGCGCCGGTGACATGTGACACGTCACGGTCCGGCGTCCGTCGGGCGCCGGTGACATGTGACACGCCACGGTCCTGCTTGCACACCGTGTATTGCTGCTGTGGCAGCGGCCATCTGCTCGGTAATGGTGCCCCCTCCCCCCCCCCCCCCCCTGCGGCCGGTTGCTGGCGCGCAGTTGCAGCGGCGCTCGAAATAAAGTCGAATAAGCCGAGCAAAGTGGAAACTGCCTTGAATGCCTACTCCAAGCAGGCGCTCCGTACTCCTGTCCTTCGCCTTCCACGACGAATTGCTACTCGCTCTTCAGGCGCGAGGAGCCTCCAGGGGCTGGCCTGGAGAATGCCACGGAGCGATTTGCCCAGCTTGTTCCGAAGTAATGACCCTTCACCGTTGGTACACAAGTGTTCCCTTCGAGGCGGGCGCGAGTTCCCACAAATCGCGGGCCAACGGCAGCTCCCTTCCGTCCATTTCAGTAGGAGCACCTGCAACATTTGGGGATCCCGATAGACATATGGAGGCCAAATCTCGCCGTAAGTTCTGACATGTGGATGAATGGCCACCACCGCATGGCCTGGACGAGGGCTTTAAAGGCCCAGAGACCTGTGTTTACTTGGACTGAATAGAGCCTGGTACCAGAGAACTTTCTGAGTTGGTCTGTCGGCGTTCGCCACACAGTTCGTGAAAGTGTCAAAGCCGAAGTTCTCGCTTTACATTCACTGCTGACGAGTGGACCTGGGGCACCATTGGTCCTGGCGAATGATTATACTGAAATGCGTGCACCGCATTTGAGTTGCGGGCTGCTGCGTTGGAGGGGAACCTGGAGAAATGTCGCGACGTCTCTGAGGGTGTCAGCCCCACCTTGGGCAACGCTGCCAGTATTAGCTCAAGTATCCGCCTACTGGAAATTAGCTTTAACAAATGCTTGACATGTGAAGTGCAGCGTGAAGGTCCCTTGATTCAGAACTAATCCAGTTCGTTTTCGGTGAAAACTACAGACCGGTAGTGACACGTCTGTTGGCGCCGTCAGGTAGCAGCCTCGGATGCTCACACGGTACGGCTTCGCTCCGTATATCTGGCGACCTCAGGCCAGTTTCGCTGTGAGGTCTCGCTGGAGGCGCCGTCCTTCGACACCTACTACGACTACGGAGATATGATCGTGGTCGGTAAGTAGCGCGATATACTGCGGAAAGGAACTCTACGCGGGGCCTCAAACGTACTGTTCGTTCTGCCTCGACATGTTTGTCTAACTTGTGGTCTTCCTGTCGTGATGTGTCACTCTCTCCTCCCCTCCCGGTTTTCATGACAACGCAGGCTTTATCAGGATTACACAGCGCCGCCTTCCGCTCCCTCCGCCCCTTCACTTGGCATGTCAATGTCTCACCGGCCTGACCGATGCCATTGTCTCGCCGGCCTGACCGATGTCGTTGAGCCGGCGTCTGGTGACGCCGACCGTGTTCCGCCGCCAGTGCGGCCACGGCTGGGGCCGCAGCTCCACGGCCTGCGGCCCAGCTACCAGGTGGGGGAGCGCCTGCGGCTCAACTGCACCCTGGCCGGCTCCAAACCAGCCGCAGCGCTCAACTGGTACATCAACGACGAGAAGGTACGTGCCTGCACTTCCCCAACCGGTGCATGCGGGCGTCAACGATGATGATTGTGCTTGTGGACGTTCTCAACTGGAATATCAGCTAGGAGAAGATGCGTACGTGACCCACATCGCCTGGGTGCCAGTGAGGAAAGCGCACGCATGTGCAATACGGCTCTTTCCAATACCGCACAGACATCTGCAAGGGAGAGCACGTACTTCGTAGTTGTTCTCAAAATGTACATTACCGGGTACCATGTCTTTTCAGATGCTTGTTTTGTTTGAGGTTTTCGACATCAAAGCACGCATATCTAACCGCGGGCCCCGTCGCGCCTAGTATCCTCTCCCGTCTTGGCCTATCTTGCCGGGGCGTTACGGCCGTCAGGCTCTATTAAAATCATTTAGAAGCTGTCCCGGCAGGAAATGTCACCTGCTGTAAGTGGCCTGAAGCAGAACGACTGGAAATGATGATGTGAGCTCGAGGCTGCTGCGGGCTTGACCGGGTTAACTACCACGTATCATCATGTTTTCCTCCTATTAAACCAAAACGCAGTAAATGACTTCGAGTACCATGTCGCATGGACCTATCCTAATCAGGCGAATAGAACAATGGACACACAATACCAAATATGTTGCCAAACAAGCGCGAGCAATGAGCGGTACGCGTGTGATACGTGGAAACAATGAAGCAACAGTTTGAGGAACATAGAACTCCGCCATGCTGTTCCCTGTGGTCGGCTGGTGAACGTTCTGAACAGTCTGCTCTCTGGTCACCCTCATCCGATGCCCGCTGGATCCTTGTGATAACGTTCTCCCCGACAGTAGCTCTCATTAGCTCCGCTGTCGAATGACTCCATTCGAGGATCGCGCGAACGGGCAGGGTGGGCCATAAATGCCTGGGGCATGACCTTCAGACGTTGACCGACATATTGACCATCCCCCGCCCGCTGTCAGCGCTCGATGACCATCCCCCGCCCGCTGTCAGCGCTCGATGACCATCCCCCACCCGCTGTCAGCGCTCGATGACCATCCCCCGCCCGCTGTCAGCGCTCGATGACCATCCCCCGCCCGCTGTCAGCGTTCGATGACCATCCTCCGCCCGCTGTCAGCGCTCGATGACCATCCCCCGCCGCTGTCAGCGCTCGACGACCATCCCCCGCCCGCTGTCAGCGCTGGATCACCAGCGCCGATCCGCCAGCAGCACTCGATGATCAGGTCTCCCGCCGTCAGCGCTCGATGATTGACACCTGCCCGTTCTCAGCGCCCTATGACCAGCCCCCGCCCGCTGTCAGAGCTTGATGACCAGCCCCCGCCACTCGTCAGCGCTCGATGACCAGCCCTCGCCCGCCATCAGCGCTCGATGACAAGCCCCCGCCAGTTGTCAACGCTCAATGACCAGCCCCCGCCCGCTGTCAGCGCTTGATGACCAGCCCCGGCGCGTCATCAGCGCTCGTGGACGGTGCTTACTGATAATTTCTCTATAGTCTACATGCCATGGGTTCCGTGCTGTCCTTTTGACCTATGGCTGGCGGCCCAAGGCTGACGCCTGTTAACTGGAACGATATTTGTCACTTATCTCGACAAGTTGTTGAACTGCAGTGGTCACAGAATCAACGGCTTGCACCCAATTCAAAGGTCTTTTTAGACAATAATAGTCGTCGCTTTGTCTGTATCGCTAAACGAAAGCTATGAGGATTACGAGGAGGGATCGGTACATTATATGTCGGTGATCAATACTTGCCGGGCGCAGTTATGCATGCCATAAATTTGATTGATAGGGTCAATTTAATTGGTTCTGACTTCTTTAGTTAAACAACCATGACGTTGCATGCCAAAGTAGACAGTTAAATGCTGTTGTCCGTCATATGCTTCACTGCGCAGAACAGCGATAGTGTGCTTTGACAAACTGACGTGGAAACAGTGATGAAAAACATTTTAACAGCTACAGAAATGATCCCACGAAAAACACGTGCCAATGTAGCTGACCCAGCCATGACATGAGTCAGGAAATGTATAAATATCTGCGGAGGAGAGTTATAATTTGGCCGCACTCGTACGCCATTTGACTGATCATCAAAATGCACCCAACTAACCGCGAATTTGTCACATCCATGACACATTGTGTTGTAGTGCTCGTGGATTCTCTGGTGGAATTATTCGCATTCGCTTTGGTTGACAGCCTCGATTTTGTCCCACAACTTGCAACTTAATTCATATTACGGCTAACTTATTGTTCCCACTGCTGCGACTTCGATAAAAATGCGATTGCAATGCTCTATCACTGTTTAATTTTTGTCTTTACAGTGGTAGCGGAACCACTTGGGATTTCAAAATATCTTCCAGGCAATTCAGCACGTATAATACAATGCGAATCTTAACTTATCATGTTTTCCAACGAATAGTTCCGGGAATGCCACCGCAGGAAAAGGGATATGCTTTTAGCCCCTTAGGCGGCTGCAGATGATGAAACATCCCAGACTGTGTTTAACCAACACGTGTGTTGGTCATGACATGACATGAGATTTCTTATGGCTGTTGGTGTACTCTTAAGCGGAAAAGACCGCCGAATACAACACGGCTTATTTGCTTAGCAAACATGCTCCTCAATGCATCATTGTTTTATTACGTTATCTTACCCTGCGCAACATTGAATGAGAGCAGCTTGACGGCTGTTATAGGTGAAAATCGTGCCTGCCAGAAAAAGTCTGCACATTTTTGCAGGCATGTGGCTCAAAAACTAGACGGTTTAGGTCTTAAGAAGAGCAGGCCTGTAAACTGCACCGAATGATCTTCAAGATGACTGTCAAGTCAAAGTCTCATGCAAATTTGGGGAGCACTCCTTTTAATGTAATGTGAGTAAGGTTGTTTTCAAAATCTGCAATTCACTGTTGGCCTGTACACTTTAGCTGTACACTGTTTAAAGTTACTAACCTGCGGCTTCATTTTCAAAACCTTTCAGCTCAAGAATGCGCAAAAAAATCCTCCGCGAGAAATTTTTGCCTCCGCGCGCACCAGATCTTTTCGGTAGATGGTTCTGAAGGTGTAAAGTAGATGTAGCATAAACGTCACCAACGGTTCTCATCTTGCTTAGCGTCATGGCGTCAAAAAATTCGATACAACGGGCAACTCCCTAGGTTGAATTGGATACACGTTATCTAGGTATATACGCATGCGGCGAAATTGTAAACAAACAAGATACATACGCTTGCGGTAAAACTGTAAGCAGCCGTACGGTGCGTCCTAATTGATAAAGGCAAAATGATCCGCAAGCACCGCACGGCGCGGTGCGTCGCAGAGTTGGCCTCTCAACGTGGCGCCGCAGAGGTGACCCCTCGGCGTAGCGCCGCAGAGGTGACCCCTCGGCGTGATGCCGCAGAGGCGACCCCTCGGCGTGGTGTCGCAGAGGCGACCCCTCGGCGTGGCGTCGCAGAGGTGACCCCTTGGCGTGGCGCCGCAGAGGTGACCCCTCGGCGTGGTGTCGCAGAGGCGACCCCTCGGCGTGGCGTCGCAGAGGTGACCCCTTGGCGTGGTGCCGCAGAGCGTCGCAGAGGTGACCCCCCGGCGTGGTGCCACAGAGGTAACCCCTCGACGTGATGCCGCAGAGGTGACCCCTCGGCGTGGTGCCGCAGAGGTGACCCCTCGGCGTGGCGTCGCAGAGGTGACCCCTCGGCGTGGCGTCGCAGAGGTGACCCCTCGGCGTGGTGCCGCAGAGGTGACCCCTCGGCGTGGCGTCGCAGAGGTAACCCCTCGGCGTGGTGTCGCAGAGGTGACCCCTCGGCGTGGTGTCGCAGAGGTGGCCCTTCGGCGCGGCGTCGCAGAGGTAACCCCTCGGCGTGGTGCCGCAAAGGTGACCCTTGTGACCTCTCGGCGCGGCGTCGCAGAGGTGACCGCTGTGACCCCTTGGCGTGACGTCGCTCTGCGGTGAGCTCAGCTTGCAGGGCTCGCCGTGGTTCTCAGGCAGCCGGCGCTGTGGAGAGGGGTCGCGCCGCCCCTGTCAGCAGGTGCGATGGTGCCCGGGCTGGAGCGGTGCTGCGGCGGGCGCCGCCCCTGTCAGCAGGTGCGATGGTGCCCGGGCTGGAGCGGTGCTGCGGCGGGCGCCGCCCCTGTCAGCAGGTGCGGTGGTGCCCGGGCTGGAGCGGTGCTGCGGCGGGCGCCGCCCCTGTCAGCAGGTGCGGTGGTGCCCGGGCTGGAGCGGTGCTGCGGCGGATTTCCATCGCCTTGGAGTGGCGAGAGCAGGCTCACGCCCAGACTGTCGCGAGAAGGCATTGTTGGACGAGAGGTGCTCGGGTCCAAACGACCGATCACCGCTTTATTCGGCGGGGCCTGATGCCACTACAAAAGATCGTCTGTGACGTCAAACTGACCATCTAGTGTTGCAAGCTGCAATAAAGGCCACGAGTGCACGAGTGGGATCAGGCTCTGGAAGGATTCCGCCTGAAGATGTGCAGCGAACGCTGTCTACAACACTCGGACACAACGTAAGAGGTGTTCGTTGTGTGATCATATACTGATGTGAAGAGTTTCTCCCAGCCAACCGGAGCACCGATAGCTGCTGATACATCGAAAGAACGCTATGGGGTTTGGAACTATGGAACTATGGAACGCACAGATGACCTTAGCGACCTTTGGTAAGCCAGCGGCTCGAACGCAGAGGACTTCTCATAAGTGGGCATTGCCGCCTCTGATGGGAGAGTCGAACTTCGAATTATTTCTGGCAAGTGGTTAGGTTTTCAATTTATTTAGGCATTGAATGACACCATGGGTGACGGGTAACGATTTATCTATGAGCGCATGACCATGCTTTTCGGTATGCCAATCCTTAGGACAGCACTTTTTTCTGAGGATTATCATAAACTAAATGTGGTCCGCGGACCCCGTATAGAAACCGTGGAATCCCTTCCCGATGGCATAGTTTGGCTTGAAAACATTTAGACCGAATCCTTTAATTTCAGCACTATGAGGATTGGCCATGGTTTTGCGGTTGCTAGTATGATTGATCACGGACAGGGAAACAATAAATCGCTTCGAAAATTTAAATCAGGTCAGAGATTGAAGAAACTAAGCATACCATGATTTATACAATTTGCATGCACCGATTTGCATAAATGCTAATCGATGAAGAAGCCATGCCTCCGAACAGGTTTGCCGTTGCATCACTTTGAACTTTTTGCGTGCCAGAACTTTGAGATTTCCCTTTGCCTAAGCATGACCGAAGAAAGTATCATGATGAGAGCCCACACCTTGTACATAATGTCGAGGGCGTTGGTACATTAGATGAAGCTTTCGCTTGTGCTCCGCCGCGCGACAGCCCTTAGCAAAGAACTGCACTACGTTTCGGAGATGTGACCCACTTTAAAAGCCCTGAACCCATGCGGTGCCGGGCCGGTGTGTTTCGTCCGCCGGGGCAACACTTCACCTGCGCCGCGACGTCGGGTGCCACTGAGGAGTTATCTTACGTCCAGCCATCAGTGCCATGGTAAGCAAGCTCCTGACCAACACCCTAATGTACACAGCTGTGACCTTGCCCGCGCACGTCACCACTCCGCCATTGAGACAACTCGCTGTAGCCGGCCGCTGCGATAACACCCGGCGGTGGCGCGGCGGCGGCAGCCTCGCTGACGCCGCGTTCCGCCGACGCCGCCAGGTACCGCCGGCACACCTGGTCGAGCACGCGCCGGTGCGGGGCAGTGACGGCCTGGAGACAGTGACGCTCGGCCTGGACGCGCCCGTCACCAGCCAGCACGTGCACGGCGGCCAGGTCAAGGTCAACTGCACGGCCGCCGTGGCCAGCGCGTACTGGGAGAGCCGGATCGCTGCCGTGCCCGTGGAGGCGGCGCAGAAACTGTCGCTGCTAGAGAGCAGGGACCTGCTAAACGGCGTTGCAGGTGAGCGGTAGGGACACCCAGTGCGGACATGTTTGACCTGCGGAGACTTCCGGAGGGACCACTAAATGACTAGGGATTCGGACACGCTTGACGCGCAGAGACTTCCGGAGGGACCGCTAAATGACCAGGGATTCAGACATGCTTGACACGCAGAGACTCCTGGAGGGACCACTAAATGACCAGGGATATGCTTGACAGCGGCGCGGGTAAGGGACAAGGGCGTATTCAGTAGGGCCGTTGGTCGGTAGGGACAGGGATGAGAGAGAGGGTACCCGATTCACAAAAAGTGCTTTCGAGAGAGGAGGTTGAGTATGACGTCCACTGCAAAAAGGTAGCCCGTCATCGGACAGGCTTGCCAGCAATCCAGCGGATGTGCCAAGTAACACTGCAACGCTTGATAACGGACATGGCCCAATCTGCTGTCTTGGAGCTTGCTGAGACTTTGCATCGCGGGGAGCAGGTGACAACTGGATCGATCCGTGAGCAGCATGGATTGGTAGAATATAAAAACTTATAACGCCGAGGTGTGAGCTCAAGACTAGCCACATACGCATTCATTCATTTTTGGTGCGCCTCCGCTCACCTTTCGGCAAGTTGTCGCAGATTATCGTGCGAGCAAGCCTTCTCAGAACGCGGACGTTGTTCTTGTTCGACGAGCGTCTGTCGTGAGCAGTTCTCGCTCAATCGGTGGATCGGCCCGTTTCCCACATTGGACGCATAGTCACACACGCTGTGTCGGTACGTCTAATGGAAACGTCACCGGCCATCGGATCGCTCGGCCGCCGATCTCTACGGCAGCTGCACTAACTGCCGCGCTGTGCAACCATGCGCTGCCTGACAACCGGCCCGCCTCGCCCGCCTGCTTCAGGTGCGCTACCAGTGACGTCATCGCCGCTGGGCGTCACGTCAGCGCTCGTCGGGCTCTGCCTGATCGCGAGGTGAGACTTCTACCAGCCGTGAGCGTCTCCCAGTGAGTGGGATCGTGTGTCGGACACGCGGGCCGGCCGCCGGACGCCGCCCCACAGCGCGGTGACGTGACCCCAGCGTGACGTCATCGCCACCATCTCCGACCAGGCCGAGACGCGATGTCGCGAGCTCAGCCCCAGCACCCGACGCGCTGGCCGGCGGGCCGGCGGCGAACGTCCCTGACGTGGCGACGGACGGCTGACCCCGGTCATCTGAGCGCGTGCGGTGTCCCCCGAGACTCTCCGCGCGAGAGGGACGCGCGGGCGGCGGCAGGGTGACGTCTCTTCCGGCCTCGCTGCCGGGCGCTGTGCGTGACCTGCCTCCGGACGCTGACCAGCCGAGCAGATCACACTGGAGTCTGCTGAGCAGTGGGAGAGAGCCCTGGACCCGGCTCCAGCGCACCGCTTCCGTGTCTAGTCGTGCGTGCTGTACCCGTCCTGACGCGCCGCCGAACGAGTGGCGCGTGGCGGCGGCGCGAGGCCCACTCTGGATGGCTGCTGTTGTGACCCTGATGATGCGCTGTCTCTCGATTAGATTACGAGGCGCCGGTTATGTCAAAATAAATTTCAAGCGTCTGCCCCACCGTGTGTGGAACCGCGATTCAACCACAAACCCGGTTTGAAAGTGTTGCTAGTGGTGTCGGAATATTATAACGACAAACATGAGTAGGTAACTGAGAGAAATACACAGGGTTTGACGCGCGAACAAACACCTCTCACTATGTCATGTAACATTGGACCAGCCGCACTTGTCCTCAATTTTCATTTACGCGATTTAAATAAATTCGGATGCAAAACTTTTCGAAACGAAATCACGAGCCGAATTGAAGTGACTTCTGAGGAAAGGGTTAAAATATAACAACTATTGAGGCACTTCTGTTCTTGTTAATTTGAGTTCAGCTTCAATTCACGAAAAAAAGGGAACAAATCAAAAACCAAATCCCCTTGACGCAAATCAACACGCGGACAACTTACATTTCAATAAACTCATGTTGATTAACTGTGCCAAACAACATGTGACTATCTCAATGGCCACAAGAAGTGGTTTCTAGAGTCATTTGTAAGCGGTACTTTGGAGTACTGCTCACAATAACAACGTACAATGAAGGCAAAACAAAACTGTCGATGTCACCTTGTCAATGGACAAGTACAGGGTTGTTTGGCGTACAGGGACAGCTGGCATGTGCATTATTCCTAGATACAAGTAAAAATAGAACAAGTAGGGAAAATCTGGGCACAACTATCCCTCAGGGAAGCGGGCACCCCGTGGTTCCGCTCTTGACAGTCAACCCCATCTTAGTTCAGTCACTATGAACAGTAGCTCCATTAACGCCCTCTCAAGTGAGCCATGACAGGGTTTTCTGGCAGCCGCCATGTGGCCGCAGCCTGTTGTGCTTCTTTCTGAAGGTGCGAGTTACAATCGCTGTGTTAGTTAAATGTCATTTCATACCATGACCATGAGCACATTTGGGCAGGATGCTTCGTCATATGCTTTGAAAACATGCTGAAATACTTATGCCAAATATTGTACAGTTGGGACGCTTGGTCACACGCTCATCATCTCATCACGCTCTTTTCACCGCCCGTGCGCGTGTCACAGAGCGGGCAGGATAAACCGAACACTTGGGCCTCGGTGGACACTTCCGACGCCCACTTGGCCCCATTTGCTGTGTTCGTATTTTTGATTAAGGTTATATAATTTTACTGCAGTTAATATTGTTGATAACTTAACTTCTAACCAGAACAGAAACAGAAACCAGAAGCTACCGCAAGATCAACTCTGGCTGTGTTTTGAAGCCAGCAAAATGCTGAACGGTAAGGATTCAATCACTGAACAACTGCACGGAACCCAGTGCCGATAATCTTCATTTAACAACGGTTTAGTCGACTCTTTCTTAATGGATAAAGCTCAGAAGCGTTACCTGACTTTTTGTTGTGTTCTTCAGAGATGTTAAAAGGAGTGTTCCACAGTTGTTTTATGTTTTGAAGTGAACTAGTCATCTTGAAGATTATTCGGTGCAGTTTAGGGCCTCGCCCTTCTTAAGACCTAAACTCCTCCAGTTTCTGAGCTGCACACCCGCGAAAATGAGCAGAATATTTCAAGGAAACCATTTCAAGGTTACCCAGGCATCCATGACGCCATAATAATGTCATTCAAATCGCAATACCATTGGCCATGAGGTGATCAAGGCCAAAAGCTATGATTGACAAGTCGCTTATAGTCTGGCATTCGTGAGCACGATTTCCAGACACATCGGCAATCAATTAGCTCTCAATCAATGTTGGCAAAGTACAATAACGTAATCAAATAATGAGGAACCTATTAAGTGAACAGAGAAATTGTGTCGTCTAGAGCAGTCTGTTACAGTTAAAAGCATACTAGTGGTTATAAATGAACACATTTCATCATATCTGACGTTTGCTTCAATATCTTCAAATGTGGAATGCTCCCTTTAAGCACCTCCTGAACGCAGATTGTAGATCGGAATAGGGCTCAAAATTCATATCGACATGGCGGAGCCGTGCTCGTCTCGAAATGATCAGCATTCAGACTGAATCGATAGCTGAGAAAATGATGAAACATGGTTTGAACACGCGCGCTCGCAAACCTTAGCAGCAACAATTTCGACACCCGGCGCTGCATTCTCCACAAGCCGTGCGGCGTCCGCCCCACGGCTGACACTAAACGGTGGCCAACGGGCAGACGAAAAAGATGACGCAACTGAAAAAGTTTCTTTGAAAGCTTTATTACATCAACGCATACGCTAACAAAGAAGCCCGGGTTTATATTTAACCAGTGCGATTTTTACATTGACAATAAGGACGGATTAGCCCTTACAACGTCGCGAAGTGGTGCTGGAATCTTATGGAGGAAAATGAAATTTAGAGGTAGAATCTGTTGTTTCGTGTTGCTGTAGCTGTTATTTAACCAGCGCACATCCCCAGCTTTAAAAAAAAAAACACACCCGGTCTCATCATCGCATGGTTTGCATTTGTTTTGGAAGAGTTTTAGAAATATTATTTCAAAACTGTCGCATTCGCGCGCACGGCGCCCACCACCTGGTGTTACCTTCAGCGACAAACGCCTTTCACTTTTACGAAAACTGCAACCCCGGCCGTCGCTGTTCTTGCTCCTGAGATTGCAAACGTGCAGAGTCTAAAATTATTTTATGTTATTTCTGTCGCTAGTCAATTCTTTAAAAGAATGAACGCTCTCAGGGGAACATGAATGGGCACGATCCACTCCATTCAACATTTCTGAGACCTCTTACCTGAAGAGAACACTAGGCGACACATTATCATTACCGATCCCGGATTGAAAGGCCATTCTGTCCCAGCGCGGGATGCATTCCGGCTACCATTCTGGGGACGCGGAGTCCCCTGGTTCTTCCGGAGGGCATTAGAGGGATGCATCATATCATCTTGCACTCCACGAACATACGCTGAGGAAACTCTAGGTAGCCATGCAGAAGAACCAAGACAATATCAAAGATCGAATAGAACCTTTGGTACTGGAGAAACCCCTGGTTTGTCCTAAAGCATCTTAGTTCGCCGAACATGATGTGACAAGATGCTACCATTTACGACGTAAAATAATTGTATTCGGTGAGGTTTGATGCTGTTGAACTTGTAAATCGCATCATGTCTCAGGTAGTACAAAAATAACCTTAATACAAATTTAATCTGGAAAAGTGTGTGTGTGTGTGGGGGGGGGGGGGTAGTTTACATTTCTATTCCCTTTGAAAAGTGGGAGGCGCATGATCCCCTGCCTTACCCTATTCCTGCACCGATGGCAAGGGAAGTTATGACAAGAACAAGTGGGCACCACAGCACAGAATGGGCCGCCACGGATGGGACCGAAGGGGAACCGAAAGGAATAAAAAAGCTGAAGGGAGCGGGTAGGAATGAGCCGGATCTGACCGGACAGGGAGAGCTCGAGGACAGTCGCACCCTGAGACCATGGGTGTACGTACATAGCAGCCCCTGGAACAAGTGCATTCGACGCCTTATCAAATTTATGGTATGCATCAATACGTGCGTCCCGTAATGTTAACTCTCAACAATTCCAGATGGACACATTAAAATAACAAAGGTCGTCAAAACGTGATGCTATTTCACGACAGACATGAAATTCTACCCGTTGGTACCGTGCCAAAAGCCGGTTTTCAGGTATTTTGTATTTTTTAGCTGTGCTCCTCCTCATCGTGAAGTCATGCGTGCGCCTCTGCCTTGGACTGGACTGGATCACATTGGACGAGCGCGGAATGGGCTGCAGAAGACCATATCAGGGACGCTTAGGAACCAAATGCACTAGCAGCCGAGGAGAGTGGCGTGATTTGGAGGAAATACGACAGGTATCGACTGGGCAGGCTCGTCGCGATGTGACGGGTCATGGGCGCAACCAGGATCATCTAAAAGGGTGCGGGATGAAAGCTCGGTGAAGTACATCACGCAACATTTGTAGTTCTATCCGGGGCTAAATATAATGACAAAGGAAAAGAAAACATAAAGGGCGCCCCGTCAACTTGGCCGTGTCCGTCAATAGGTGTCGAATGCGCGGGGCCCGAGACTGAATTGGACCGAACGAGAATGGGCTTGAGCACATCGAACTTACCGAACTGGGCCGGACTGGAATTTTCCAGGTCGTAACGGATAGAATACTGGAAAGGACGGAAACTGACTGCAGGAGCCATGAGATACCCAGACCAGGCCTCAGTTAATGGTGGTTACCCGAAATAAAACGGCCTATAATTTGACGAAATTGGAAATAAATAAAATTAGAATGGTACGTATCTAACAATCATTATCATTCTGGTTTGGTACCCAAGCGACACCATGAAATTTATACAAAATGGATGTAAAAAAAACAGAGCGATTAGTCAGTGACATCATCATCAGCTGATAGACGCATGCAGAGCACACGCTTCCTTCAATACCTGCGCCGATTCACGCTTCTCACTGCACTCCGTCCCCTCCCTTCCATCTTTAGGAAAATTGTGGCTGCGCTTCTGCATGCGCTCTGATCTTAATGATGACCCTCAGTCGCACACCAACATCTTAAAGATATAATTGCTGAGTTATAACCCTTGTCCCACTAACTTCTTCTCCAAAATTTCCTACTTGATTGTACAGACTTTTATGGGGCATTTCGAAGAAAATTTATCAGAAACTCGGCCAAAATATGACATTCAGGTGAAAGTATTCATAAAATAATTCAGCCAACGATATTATACCCATAGCGTGGCAGACAGACCAGCTGGTGTTTGATAGTAACGACCTCGCGTCATCGAAGACCACTGAACTGCCTGCCTTTCGTACCGGGGGACGTAATGCTCCTGCATGCAGCGGCCCCAGGACTGCAACAGAAATCGCAGGGCTTCCAGTGCAGGCTGCGATCATGACAAAGTTCCCATCAAGAGGAGCGAACGTGGCCCGTCTCTAACTCCGGACATGGAGACAAACGTGATCTTCCTCTGCGGCGGCGACGCGCCTGAGCCGAAGGGCATCACAACCGGTAGTCAGGACCAGACGACGGAGGATGACGAGACAGAGGATGAAGATGACTTCTCCTGGGATCTCC